AAATTGTTAAGATAGTGCATTCACCTTGGACAGCGTGACAGTTTGCAATTAACCATCTAATATAAAAAGCCACACACAACCATCACCGGGCAGAGGCAAATGACCACAAGCAGGTATATATCTTTAATGTGCACATTTAATGAGACAGATCGTCATAAGCACTTCCCAGTGAGTCTAAAATGGCAGAAAAACTGACAAAGATATTCACTCTGACATTTCACATCTTTTGAATGTTTTTGGCTGGTGCACCTGCACTTCAGACATTACATGTTTGACCTTTTTGAGATCTTCCCTCCTGTTGTTTTGACAACTCATCGAACCACTGATTGGCAGACCTCTTCAGATTTGAAGATTTTTGCTGCTCATTGTTATTCAAACAATGATCCACACCTTTACAGACAGGCTGAGACTGGCATTGCTTTAGCCATGATCACTTTGCAGTATTTTGGCTTTCTCCTGTGGCCTTCGCATTTCCTTACTGACAAACGCCAGATTGTGGGAATGTCTCAAACTGGACTTCCCACTGATATCCAGACTCTTGTTATCTTTGTTTTGGGTCTGAGTGAAATATATCTGTGAGACACTCACACTTCCTGTTCTGTCTGCTGTGTGCTTATGAACTGCGATTATAAGTAAGCCGTTATGAATACGGTGTCAGGACATAAACATGCCATCAGGAGTAACCATTCTAGGATTCTTCTTATATTCTAACTCTTATTGTATGATTACAGAGGATAAATCCAAGAACATGTTCACAGTGACGGGATTACCTACAGACAGATTCACTTTATCTGCTCTGCTGTTGCATAGATCAACTTAAGCTGCTAATTATTGTGAGGGATGATTTCTTTACAACTCACTGTATTTCCAATGCACCCCCCCCCCCCTCCCATTTTTTTTGTAATTAACAGCCTTGTTTTAGCATTTTAGCAGTTTTTAAACTGTCACAACGGGGGGAGATTTCAGTGCTGAGCATGAGCTCACAGTTGATCATCTGTGTGTAATCCTGGATTAAGCCACCTGAGAGAGTCAGGGAGGATGGGAAGAGTGTGGTAAAGCCCATTTCTTTAAACCAGTAAAGGCCTAGAAGCTGTTTTCTGTCAGCTTCTCTATCTGCAGCGCACCTCACACATCAGATGCCTTAGCAGGAGGTGGAAGGAATGTCACTTTCATTAACTCAGCTGTGATGATACCCGCTACCTTGAGACAATATCAGCCTCAGGAAGTGGAGTCTGCTAGTTTTTATTTAGTCTTCGAGCACTGGAGATAAAGTGGAGACTGAAATAGCGGCTGCAGTGGGAGCTATCGTTTTCCGGATAGTCCAAAACTATTTGGACAATGCTCCTTAATATTTGTGGTTCACATAATGTTTTAGACAGTGCTTTACATGATTTGTGTTTTATCCTTTCCTGTTCCAGCACCACAATGCTCAATGCCTTGCCTTCTTTATACTTGTTGATACCTTTTAAAACAATCAAACTCTGGCTGTTCTCTGTTACTCAGGCTCTCTTGTGCTGGTGCTGTGTGCATTTGGTGTTGCAGGAGATCCTATGTGGAAATGTGGGACATTTTACTGTCCTCCAGAAAGCAGATTAAGTAAAAACTTAATTTGTTAGCCCTGGAATAAGAGAAACTCTGGGTTTTCTTTCCCAGAAAGAGAGCTAACTTAAGCTCAGTGTCAGATGTGAGGATGCCTCACTGCTCACTTGGTAGATTTGATTTTGAGGCAGTGAAACTCCCTTTGCTATCAATGTAAATGCTGAACCAGCTGATTGATTAATTCATGTAGTTTCTGTCAAAGCAAATGCCAAAGTGCAATAATTTGCAGTAGTTCATGTTTTAAAAAAATACTGAAATCCTGGTTTGTTGTTATATTTGACATGAGCCTGTCTGTCACTAATGTGAAATCTACACATGTGTTATCTTTTTGACTAACTCTGTGGACAGTAAAGCAGCTGTCAGGCTGTCAGCAAGTTCCCCTGCAGTGAAACTTTTAGTGTGTGGTGGCAATCGCTGTTAAAATAAAAATAAATCTATAAGCTTTAGACGCATAACACACCAATCAATGATCAATCATTTGTTAGGCTGTCACACAATGTGGTCATACTGATGGAAGAATGTGTCATCTTAGCTGGTGTCTTAGGGATGATTTGAATATTTCTGTGGGAATTAGGCTGAAATGATTTTAAGATTCTAAAACAAGACAAGATGTTGTTTAAAATGAGTTTTTAAAGGCTGCAGAGAGTCTGATTGTATAGTAACTGTATTTCTTGTTGAAACGTCAACACATTTAGTCATTAAAACATACATCAAACACCAAATTGAAAGGTGTAATCTATGAAAATTTAAAAACTAAACCTCAACATGGTTTCCTCTGAATAAATCACCTAAACATATGCATGAAAATAGCCTGGACACAAGTTTTTAATCAGACCCAACAAACTTGTGTTCAGGCTGTTTTCCTGTATATTTTCATCTCCTCTTTCCATCATCTGCATTTTGTCCCCATCATGTTACAGTTCAATAATTAGATTTAAAAATCAAATGTAAAATTTGGTAGGATTCCAGCTTCATCTAATAATGAAAATGAAAGTCGGGTAAATGATTGAGTGGATCACGCTGATTAAAATGACTCTTTTCTCCTTCCTTGTTTTTTGGTCGGCACTGACACACATTTATATTAATCGAGCCATCTGCATCCATTCTTGTCTCCTTGGCTGGTTCAGGGTCGCGGTGGGGCTGGAGCCTGTCCCAGCTGTCACACAAGTGGGGTGCACCCTGTAATGGTCGCCAGCCTGTTGCAGGGCAAACACAGAGACATAACTATTTACACTCGCATTCACACCTGATTGCATATCTTTGGACTTTGAGAGGGAACTTGCCCAAACAAGGAAGGGCCCGAGCTGGCCAGTGGATTAAAACCCAGGACCCCCATCTCAGAATTGATGCGACTGAGAGTTCAATAAGGAGAGATCATTAAAGAATAGAATAACTGAACGTAATTGATTGAAAGTAGAGAATTCTATTAAGCTATTTGGCATTAAGACGCCCTGATGCCCCATCATAGCATTACTGAATCCCACAGGTGACAGGAATTAAAAAATGACACTGTGGAGTCTAAACACTTGTGGCGGTGAAGATGACGAAGCACGTGAACAGGGAAAGGCAGAAGAGCAGTGTCAGGCAAGAAAATGATTGAACTAGAGCAGTTATGTCAGCATTGAGTTAGATAGCATGGGAAAGTGGA